GCGAGCTGCAGCTGCTCTGCAAGTGCTTTGGCTTCAAGCGCGGCTGCGGGGACGAGGTCGGCACTCACACACACGCCCATACATGCAAACACACAGGCAGTTCGATATGACAGTATTCCATTGTGCAGGTGGACTACCGCGCGCTGTGCACCGCGCTGGAGCTGGTGCACGCCACCACGCGCGCGCAGCCTTGCTAGCGACAGCGACACTCTCTCTGCCATACGTTATGTCCATTGTTCATGTGATTAAATTATTAAACCAATGTAAATGTGTTTTTTACTTGTAAAAGATTGTAGTTCTTCTTGCGGGTATTTACGTTAGTTAAACTAGTATAAATAAAACAACGTGAATTATGTTTTTAATATATTTTTAGTGTAATTTAATGTAAGTTGTCATTGAATCTCTTGTGGTCGACTCTCTGGGCGTTACCGTGATGTTGGCGACTTCACTTGGCGTCGTTGAAGATGCATTGTCTGTGGGGGTACTTGACAGCAGAGTAGTGAAATATGTCGGTTTATTTGTTGGTGCATTTGATGTACTGGTCCTAAATGTAGATGTTTCTTCGGATGCTGTATGTGCTGAAGATGATGACTCTTCTGTGATGTTAGCTGGCGGTGAACAGCCGGCGTCTTCCGTTCTGTCGCAGACGTGTGTGGTGGGGCTGAAGTGTAGGCCGGCGGGGCACTGCCGGCAGATGGCCACTCTACTCACGCAGTAGTAAAACAGCTCGCAGTCGTCCGGGTGGGGCAGAAGGCGATCCTCGCCGACACCGGCGCACGTCACGTTTGTTATTGATCTCTCAAGGCAGCGCCGCCGCACAGCATCGCCATCGAACCGCCACGAAGTCAGACTGCAAAGAAAAAAAACAAATATTATCCTATTGAGTTACAAACCAAGGATTAAAATATTTTTATAGACAGGAACTTATCCGTGAATTTTCAGCACCGAAAAATTTTTAACAGAAATAAGTAAGAATGACGAAATAAGTATAATAAATGAATAAACTGACGCAAGATGTCCGGGGCCTAGGAGAACTGCGCCCTGGGCAAGCCAGGGGCCCAGCAATAGGCACACTATTAGCGCCGGATACTCCATGCTCGCCACACTACACATTCAATGGCTAATTACCGCAAACTATGCCTTATAAATAGACCGACAAGGCAATTTCCTGGTACCTTGATAACAACGAAGTACTTCTTCAAATACCTATTAGTTGTTATTCTCGAGTACCAGATTAATTATATTGACATCGTCATAATTGCGTAATTTGTTAAACAGTTATGCCGACACCAGATGGTCGAAGTGATGAATTAGAATCGCAGAAATCTAAACATCATATTGAATAAATCATTTTTTATTTGTAAAAATCATTAATATCCCTTAGAGACATTTTAAGTTTGTCTACTAAAAACGTGAAAATTAGTTAAAACCCCTCATTCGTTCCCACCTTGATGCTACGGCAGGTTACACTACTGTTGAGAAAAATCTCAGAAATGGAGAAAAGACTGATAACAATTTCATCTTTAATTGATTTTTTATAAAAGGAACAAACACTTAATATCACAAACTAAATGGTATATTTCAGCTTGTGTGCAGAGCGGCCAGGCCGCGTGGCTGCGTCACTGCGCATTAGTCATTTGATAACTATAGTGGATCAACTAGCTCATTATTATCATAAGCCGGGTCTTACCTCACTATAGTATGCTAATCAGTTATGACAATATTACTTAATAAGTAGTTAACTTCTAAAAAAATTACCCCTTAAGAAAAGACCTAGAGACCTTTTGTATTCCATTAATTATAATAATTTAATCGATTACGGTAATTGTTAAAATCTTTAGAAGTAAATAAAACAGCACATTCATTTAAACTTAATATATTTTACATAATTAATCGAGTTGATGCCATTGCGAAAGTTGTAGCCGTTGAATCGATCCGAATATTCGTTGACTTGTGGCGATGTAAGAGTTACTGTCTGCAGCCGGCGCGGTTCGCGTAATCACACACGTGTTTGGTTGGGTTGAAGTGGAGGCCGGCGGGACACTGCCTACAAATGGCGACATCACCCACGCAGTAGTAGAACAGCTCGCAGTCTGCGGGGTGCGGCAGAAGCTGGTCCTCGCTAACGCCAGCGCAGGACACGTCGGCCACGTAGCTGGCCACGCAGCGCTCCGGGATGTTATTACGGTACAACTGGGGTAGCACGTGCGGCAGCGGCAGGGCTCTAGGGACAATGTAAAAGATTTTTCAATCGTAACAGATAGAAAGATACATGTAATGAAACACGAATGTTACCAAGTGGATGATTATCACGAATTTTTAAATAACTTCTTGTTGTACACAGAATTGATACCTAAAGCAGAATTAATGCTAAGGGACAATTTGGTGTTGCAATTATAGCGTCATGGCAAATGTCGACTGCAGGTAATAAAGTACAGCATCGGTTTCAATGTTCCCAATGCGCTAAGCGCGATTTCTATGGCGCCTTCTTGAGAAGGGTTATACAGGAATGTGACGCTTGAGTAAGCAATAATACTGTACTCACGGATGGACCTCAGCGTGCAGTTCGTCAGCGAGACAGCCCCACAGGCCGAGCATCAGAAGAGAGAAAATCAGCGAGTAGGATGCCATGCCGAGTGATTCTTGTCTATTTCCAATAGTAATAACTTTGCTCACCTAAGCCCGGCTTATAAAGCAAAGGATAAGTGGATTAGACACACTCGAGACCTGAGATTATCCTCGATGTCGCGCCTAAACCCTTGTAATACTCAAGTAATTGATAAAATTAACAAATATTTTGCAAAATGACACAATTTACAGGATCAAATTTCGCTTTGTAGTCGCCGACTGTTGGATTCTACATAAGAATTGTAGAAACACTTGAAAATTGAAAAGACAAAACACTAATGGCAAACTTAATAAAACATTCAAACGCAGCGGTATTCTCGTTGAAGATCGAATCATAAAATGCCTCAAGAATTTGGCTGAAAGATGATGAGGAAATCAATTCATAATCCAATTATTCATCATAGAAAGAAGACTTATTAAAGGTACTTTTAGTTTTATAATGTTCCGATGAGGCAAATTTCATTTGTATTTATTTGTTTTTTTTTTTTTAATTACGCGCTGCCTTTATGCGTGTAAGCAATGAAAAATAGCTAATGTTACGACTAAACACTTGGTACTTAAACATTCATCTGCTTTCTAAAAGTGGTTTGTCCTTATCTGGCCACTTTTATAACTCGTAGGAAAAGAACATTATTTAACATTTGTACATTTATTTTTCATTGCCTGTCACTTCATGGCTAAATTCTTTAAGTCGAAAACACTATTATTATTAGATTTCCAACAGTCGTACGGCGGAATCAAACCAATTGCTTTGTAATTCTGTCTTTACCCTCTTGGCCTATTGGTGTTTCAGTACATATTGCCCATATATTTTTTCTATTATTTTTTGCTTTAAATTGAATGTCATTTGAGTTACTCTTCATATATATAAGGCAGGCTTTTACTGGTATTGTAAACTGGTTGATTTAATTTTTTTACCCAGTGTTCTACGTGTACGACGGAAAACATCGTGATGCAACCTGCACCTATCTGCAAAGTAATTCAAAAGATCGAGTATATGTGAAGTCAACCTGCACTAGGAAAACGTGGTCGACTTTAGAACTTTGGGTAGGCTTGAACCTCCAAGGCTCCAAGCACGGGGACGTACATATGGTGTGATGTAGCTTTTTTCTATATTATAGTATTTACTCCATATTTCTAGAGTTTATTATATGTTTGTCATTCATATTGAAATAATCCAGAAACCAAACCAACTGGGTGCTATATTAACTCGACAAAACTGATATATGTATATGGTAGGTACTTTATGGGAATGTGGGTAGGTGGTACTAAAGGCTTATTATGACTGAAACCAACTTTATTTTTATTAGCTATGGCTGTTTATTGGGAATAATATGTGACATAAACGTTGGCAGGTTACTCCTCGTCGGGTTGCGGGGTGTTTCCGCAGCCTGCACGCGCGGGTCGCTCGCACACATGCTTCGTGGGGCTGAAGTGAAGACCAGCGGGGCACTGCCTGCAAAAGGCGACGTCGTCTACGCAGTAGTAAAACAACTCGCAGTCCTCAGGATGCGGCAGAAGACTGTCCTCGCCCACGCCGGCGCATGGCAGCTCGCGCGTAGTCATCTCAAAGCAACGCCGTGGAATGTCGTTGTCATCTGAGATGCCCATACTCCTATGAAAATATACGAGTATGTATGAAAGATGTAATGCATACGTCGCTGACACCATTCTATTCAATAGCTTTCGTTTCCTTTGATCGCTTAAACCTTCGTGAAATACTATTCCTTACCCTCCCTGAGACAAATTTCTATCCCTTGTAATTAAAAAAAAACTTATAACTTTTCTCTACTTAACATAGTAACAAATATATCTGTGCAAAATGTAGTCTAGGCTCAAATGGTTGTGTAAAAATATCATTCAGTCAGTTTCTTTAAAGCAAATACTCACAAAAAATCTCCCGAGCGAACAACCCTTCGTCCCAGAGCGCCGCAAGCTATTAATGCGAGAAGGAATAGCGAAAGTCCTCGGTGCAACATGATGCTCAGCATATTTTCAACTGAAAACGTCGCTTAGCTCCTGTCTACTCGTTATATAGCTACCAAGCGCCACTCACTTCTATCAAATTATCCTGTCGGTCTGCGCCAAAAGATGTCGTTCCGAGTGGCTGATAAATCGAACAAGACATTTTGCAGATATCATTTTATAAACATACTTATGTTTTCTGCTTCAAGTTTCAATAAAACGTTGAAATAAATAAGTTCTCTTTCATATCACTTTATATTTATGTACTTAAGTTACTAAAAATTCACAGAACATGTTGGGGCTACGAGTTAGACATTAATATATTTGCCCAGGCTGGTTGGTGTGATAGTCGTTAGCTAAAAGGATGACAATCTATAGTTGTATATCTGTGTCAAGCGCAAGTAATGTCGCGTACGAGTCATAAAAACAGGTAGTGTTACTTATATTTTATTATTGTCTACTTTATTGGCAACATGTTTTTATTTCTTAACACACAAAATTTGTATGATTATCTTCTAGTCTGTTGTTCAGTGCTACTGCACTTCAACGGGGAAGCCGCTCGGAGGGGACCATTTCGCACCTCGTCCGTCCTCCGCACGCCCTCACATCGCGCTGCAATTAGTTGCACTCGAAACCATACCTCGGCAACACTTTACCTATTTTAGGCATTTAATAATTATTTAGTAGTTACCTCCAACGAGTATGTTAGTGTCACACCACCACTCCTAACATGCTTTTCAATGTATTTTAATAGAATTTAATATACATGGTTCTAGTGTTGTATTTTTTGTTGACACAAGATATGAAGTTGCTATTTGACTACGCCTACCAATATAAAATAGCAATTTTTCCCTCATGTACGTTTAATAGTTTTTAAGAGATTTCAATCTCATTGTTTTGTGAACGAGCTTCTCTGCGGATACATTCACTAAATCTAATTCTCTAATAGTCGTTTCAGCTTCAGCAGTTTAGAGTATACAGAAGGAATATACGTAAATTCAGTTTGTAATCTCATTCATCTAGTTTAGTCGTTTACCTTGTCCACTAAACACAGATAATTCGGCTTTATGTAATGTAATGTAATGCTGGACAATGAAGTCTTCATGAACCAGCGTTGTAGTTGCAGTAGTTTCACTTGAAAGAGAGAGAGGCTGGTCAAGAGAGGAGGCTGGTCCTTGTAATGTGTACTGGTCAGTGTGACGGTTTTACAATCACTTACATCGTTTATTTTTTAATGAAGACAAAACACTAATAACTAAGACAAAAAGTCATTTTATTTACAATTTGTTTATTTCCGACATACAATTGTACATCCCAAAAGTTTGTTCATGTCCGATCACTTATGCTAATTTCATTCCTACGTACGGAAGAAACATCAAGGTCGTACAAAATACATGATTCTGATTCCTTGTTTATAACCAAATAAAATTACAAATCTACAACATTTCTGCAATGAGATCCAGAACAAACGACCTTCAGGAGAGGAGGGGCTGGACACCGCACACAACCACACACACAAACGACGCTCGACGCTCGACGACACCACGACACATTATTCTAATTTAAGCTCTGTATCGTAGAATATTACTAAAAATCAGTTAAAATGGATCATTATTTCATACTTTCAAGTCAAATCGATCTATTCAGCAATAATACTCCAAGTGAATCTATAAATCAATACTATATTATAATCAATTTACGCAAAGGTCGCGCGCCCGGACGCGGCCGCGTCTCCGCGCCGCATTCTTTACTCGCGACTACATTATTATTCCTTATCAAAAATCTTAAGATTGTTTTCTTAAATTAATATGTGGAATGGAATGACGCGCCCCGCGCGGTGAGAGGGGCGCGGGGACGCCCATGACCGGTGACTTAACCTGCAACAAACACAACAACTATTATAGCTTCGCTTCCATCGCTCCGACGTGCTGCTGGCGGCAGGCGGGCAAGCGGGCACAAACAATGCCTGCTCCACACTTGCTCAGTACAGTTGGACATCTCCACTCGATAACTGGATTTATGTGGCATAATGTGAATACTAACTGGCGCCAGTAAGTTCAAACAATCCATGTCTGGCTGCGCAACTGTCCAACTGTATGTGCCAAGTGTGAACCAGGTATAAGCCAGGACACTAAGGTGAGGGTCAAAGCTGAACTGAGGGCTGACAAGCAGGGATGCATCATGTCAAATACAACTAAATACAAAAAAATATATGTTTTCCTCGTTTAGCTACATCTAAAATTTTAAAGTACGTATATTTAGATGGACGGCTGATATAAAGGTATCTCCAAAACAACTCAATAGATTCCTTTGAAATTTGGCACAGATGAACAATGCATGGAAGAAGGCTTTTCATATAACGCGCTGCTAGTCATACACATCATTTATCTTCTTTCTGTTTAAGAAGGTATGTGGAGGTACAAGGACTTACCTTATTATTGGACTGAGATGAGTTTGGGCAGGTACAGAGAGTTCAGTAGGGCTGGTGCCTCTGGTTGGCGCGGCCGCCGCCGCCGCCGCGCTGCTTGCCGCCCTGGTAGCCCGCTGCAACCATTGCATACACTGCCTCAATGCCGCTGCCGCCCACTACACGCTACACTGCTAGCGAACGCGCTTTATGCCAAATGCAGACTCTTCGCTATTTCGTAAAATGTGGATGCATTTTCTAACCAATTTATGCAGATATATTTACAACTAAGACTTTATTACCCGTTAGTATTAAATGTATAATAGGTATATTAATAGGTATTTATCCCCAAATGTTCCAAATTGAATGAACCTAACTAAAATTAGACTTAGTTATAAATGAAACTGCATGAACATCGCAACTAGCTATAAGCCTAGAAATGTATGAAGAGAAAAGTACTAGATGAACTAAGGACAGGCAGATCTACGAAAGCCGGCTAATTTTATGGAGTCGGTGACTTTATTGCTAAGACATACGACGGTTTGACGGAAATATTTAGCTTTAAAAACATTTGGAACCAACCCATCACTCAGTGCAGTAAAAAGTATATGTATATTTTATAGCTATTTATGTGAAGAGTGAATGAGGATGAATACAGAATAAGAAGAACGAAAAGTGAATAATTATTGCATCAATTTCCATCAAATCGCCGCAGTGAAGTGAGGGAGGGTGAGCAGAGGGTCGGCAGTACCTTTCCCGCGTGGAGCCGCGCGCGCGCCGTAGCCGCCCTCGTACCCTCCGTACCCGCCGTAGTCTGCCCGCAATACAAACCATTAGTCCGAGCGTACGAACGCATTGCGCGGACATTGCGCCGCCAGCTCTTGTGGACCCTTCACACGTCTTTGTTAATGCATTTCGGACTGCTTGTTGCACAAAAGCTCTAAGCCTGTACTACTTGTAACCCTTGTACAAAATTCCAAAACTAATATCAACTTTTATGAAGCTTCGAAATGGGAATTTATTTTTCAAGACCTACTCTCGATCACTATCCTTTGTACATTGTTGTAAATCTCAGATTTTAAAGTTTTATAAACTTTAATAAAAAAAAAATTAAGCAATAATCAAAGGTTGTACAAATTCTCATGCCCATGCTTTTTAAAAAGTACTAATTTCAATACTATGCAGCAGAGGTAGTCTGCTAGAACCATATTTAATTTTTCGTTTTTTTTTTTAAATTGCTATACGATTAGTTTCTATTCTAGTGACGACTACCAGAGTTAGACAAAACGTTAGAAACTATATGTTAATGGATAGCAAATAGTCGTGTTGTAGGTAGTGATGGGTTTGTGAGCAAGTGCCTGCGCCAGAGCATGCGGGTTAGTGGCGGCGGCGGCGACGCGGCGTGCCCGGTGTGGCGCGGTGGCGAGGCGCGGTGTGGCGTGGCGCAGTGTGGCGAGGCGCGGTGGCGCAGTGGCGCAGTGGCACAGTGGCGCGGGGGCGAGGTGGCGAGGTGACGGGATGTGGATCGGGATCAAATATATGGAAACACATTGAGATTTTTGTAACAGTGCTTTATTCAAAAGCTTCATCATATCTTTATCACTTTCACAATGTCTCTCCATATATTACCCCAATTTCCCAAATGTAGCATGTGGCGAGAGTGTTAATAGGTAAATAAAAATACCAAATACAAACAAAACTCGGGCGACAATGCTACATATGTCAAAAGTGGTATTACAAATAAACACTTATAAAACGTAAGGCAGATAACATATGTACACATACAGTACCCAGTGACACAATGATAAAGAGCGATCGAGCTGCGGGCACGAGCGCTGCGCTACGGCCGCGGCGTGCAGTTAGTGGACAAATCAAATAGCGCAAATTAAATATGATCTCTCGGAAACGAGTTACGTAAAATGATTAAAATCTAATTACTCGAAAAATGATTAGATAGAACCGCTGGTTATATTGATATATATCGTCTCCGACAACATTCACTACACATTATCTCGATAGAATATCCATGTAAATACGTAGTTATAATAGAAAAATAAATATTTTCTACACTAAGTCGTACACCTAAGGTCCACGTTGCTCCGAGTGGATCAACACATACAAGGTAAATAGGCATCTCAAGGACGGAGGCTCGCCCGTCGCCGCTGCTCGTGGCGCCCGCGCGCCCCCGCACGCTGCCCGCATGCGGCGTGCGGGCGGCGCGCGGGCGCACACGCTAACCTATCCTTACTCTACGATTACATGCTAAAATCAGGTAACATCAGTCGAGGTAATGTGTCGGTGAGCGGTACTTAGCGAACCTCGCCCTAGTAGTTCTGCTTGCCGCGTTTACCGTAATTAGGGTAGCCGGAGTAATCGTAACTGCCGTATCCGCCGTAGCCGTCGTATCCGTAGCCGCCGTATCCGTATCCATCGTATCCGCCGCCGTAGCCGCCCTGTCCGTAGCCGTAGCCGCCGTAGCCCTGGTTGCCCCAGGTGCCCTGCCCGCCGTAGCCGCCGCGCCCGCCGCGGCCGCCGCGCGCGCCCCGCCCGCCGCGCCCGCCGCGCGTGCCCAGCCCGCCCGGGCCCTCCGGCTTCGGCGTGGCGCGCTTCACGTCCACCTGAGACACACCACACATTGCACATTGCACTGCACTGGACATACTAAATCTACTAAACATTTCTGACTCATATTTCAAATATATCGAGTCGGGCGAGAATAATTCAGACAGTATCAAATAACAAATCATTATGTATTGATTTAGTGTCTTGAAATGCATAAAAAATACTTGTAATGAAACATTACCTCTTTGCCGGCGATGGTCTGCTTGGGAGTCTTGAGGAGCTCATTGACAACTTGCTCAGACTCAAATGTTATGAAGCAGAATCCTTTTCTTTGGTTCTTTGTCTTATCAAATGGCATTTCAACTTCAATTATCTGAAATTTAAATATAACATGAACAAACCAAAATATTATATTCCCAGACAAATTTGGACAAATATTTATCAGTGGCCCGGATTCCTCTTCAGGTAGTCTAGATTATTATAATTATCTCACCAAAACCGGAATTGTCATCATAACAAAAATGATTGGTTGTAAATCATTATTAGGTTAATACTCACAGTGCCGAAATTGCTGAAGAAGTTCTTTATTTCATCATCTGAGATTTCACTGCTTAAACCTCCAACAAATATCTTCCCATGCCTCGCTTTAGCTTTCTTTGGATCGACTTTCTTATTGTTGATTGTGTGGTCTCCTGCCGCCATCACTTTATCAATAGAATCCGGTGCTTTGAAAACAATGAAGGCGAACCCTCGCGACCGCCCCGTGTTGGGATCTGTCTTCACATTGATGCTCTCTATCTCTCCATACGCACTGAAGTGATCACGCAACTCCTCTGTGGAAGAAAATACTTACATTAACATTTGTTACCCAATAAAATGTTTAATACACCAAATGTATTTTATCCTCAGTATTGTGGGTAAAGCTTTCTTCAATTTAACTCAGAAGCAGAACTGAAATAATCATCATTATATTTTATAGCTTAAAAAGTGGTTAATATACTATTGAATTTTAACCATCAAATGCCATTAAATTACATTAAAATAAGGAACATGAGAGATGACTTACTATCTGTAGTTTCCCAGCTGAGGCCTCCCACAAAGAGTTTTCTGTAAGTTCATGTAAAAATAAATTAAAACAGGGGCATTAACAAATATTAACTGTCTCGAATCAGAGAATGTTTAGACTTAAAAATATTACAATTTAACATTAAACAACTATGCAGTACTTGTTTACAGTACTTTACAGCTACTTATTGTTCAAAAACAAAACTCCAAGCACTGCAGCAAAACAAATTGACAACCTGTAAGTTACAAAAAGGAAAACTGGAAACTTTATCATTAAATTAGACAACGAGATGTGAACAAAGAATGTTACAGTGATATCGCAAGATTTGAAATTGGCAAGTGTGAACGGGGCCCAAAATTAAGTGGCCGAACCAATGAGTGGTCTTTGGTGGTAGCTTTACTTTAAGTGTGAGCCCAGCGGATATATACCATGACGTCCTCCGGCGGCGGCTTCGGCGGCGGCGCAGGCTCACACCTGCAGAGAGACAGCCGGTTAGTAGCGCTCCACAGACGCGCGGGCCACAGTCATACCCACTACCACCGATTTAAAATCTTGCAACTACGCAAAACGGCAAAACGGCAAACGGCGTACGCGCCCACGCCCGCTCAATAACCGTAACATTCGAAACAAATCTAACATAACGGACCGAAGCGAAAAATCAATAACGGGACCGTGCCGGTTCCGGGCGCGAGAGACGCGCGTAAGACGCCATTTTAACTTCATGCGGCTACGAACTATTTCGGAAAATTTATGTAGAAGATAACGTCTGAAATGAAAACTATCACATCCAGGAATGAAATTTAATCGCGAAGAACCAACTGCAAAAGTGAAAACATTGAATTTTGAAAAGACCTTTGGGATTAAAATAGATTAGGATGCCGATAATAATAATGCCGGACCGCCGACGCCATTGCGGGTGGATAAAGATGGTACTGCAAATCACATTTATCAAGCTCAAATTTTTTATAACATTAAACAAAAAGTTAAACTCAAAATGAAAACATTAGTTTTAAAGAAGCTTTGTCGAAAGAAACTAAAATAGCTTTACCTGTCGTCATCGCGTCCCGACGCTTCTCCATTATTGTCTTGAATATCGCCGCCACCGTTTTCCATATTTCCATTTAATTGTTCTGTAACATCTTGCGCGAAATTGTCGTTATTGGCCATGACTGACTTATATGTAGGCTTATTAATAATAAACTAATAACTAAGGTCCACACACGACCTTCAACAATGAATGCCAAACGCAGAAGATTGAACGGAAGCCGGTGGTGAGTCGGCGCGAAATTGTTTAAAATGTTGGCAGCACACGCATAGACGCGGTTTTTTAGCAAGCGTTCTATCCCTTCCACCTTATTGAACCAATGAGCGATGAGGTGTTTGCAGAGGTCAATGGCATTCTTTTTGTGTCAAAAAGGATAAAAGATATCTTTAAGCTGTACACAAAAGAGATAGAAATAACAGGCACGGATCAATACCGGTGCCAACAATCCGTCGTTAGTTTGCCGCCAAGCCACCAATATATCTAAATAAAATTTAAGTTGCGTTCAAACAAACTTTTTTGTAAAATATTTAACATTGCAATGCCCGTGTAAAAGTTTTTAAAGATATTGTTAGGCTCTTAACTTATATCTATATAAATGTAATTTACATTAACATTTCCTTAATAAATCGATATAAACGTTTTGATAGTTGTAATGAAATAAAAAATCCAAAAACCAAACAAGATTATCAACATGAAATACC